GTTTCAGTGGGAGGTACTTGATGGCATGTAGATCATTGCCGCGGGCCATGTGAATGTGGAGAAGGAAACCTTCTATCCATACCGCAGGGTCTGTAGTCCCATTGTAGGGCTCGATATTAACGGGCTTAAACCCCTATGGGAATTCATGTTCCATTACTTCATCAGTGAAGCATAGGGGGTGTGCGGCGCCTCTATGCCGGGCTACCTCACGATGCAGCTCGAGTGAGTCTGGTCTGTTGTATTCGGCTTGGCCGGATTTGTATTTAGTATATCCGGCGTGGCGGTCATCGTCACGTGTTGGGGCGCGCCCCCTTGATCCGTAGATCGATCTCGACGGTCCTGCTTTGTTTTCCATTTCATTTCGTAGGTCATGTGTGTAGCCCCGGGCCTTCGTGTTTTTATTTGTTTGTCGACGGGGTGCGGGCTGGTGTTCGGGCTGATACGCCACTTCATCTCGACCACGAGGTGGCCAATCAGCCTCATCCTGCGCTGGTAGTGTAGGCTCTAGTGCCTCCTCCTCGAATTGAGGTAACAACCCACGCTTCGGGTAACTTTTGGTTGGGCGCTTGAGTCCGTATTCCTCAGCTGCCAGGACCTCAGTCCATCTATCAGTTAGCAGATCTTGATCAGCTTGAAGCTGCTGCTATTTTTTCTTCAGCCTTTTTGCAGTGGCTATAAGCCGACGCTTGAAGCGCTCCTGCTCGACGGGATCCTCATGCACGATAAATTCTTCGTCGCCGAGGCTCACCTTGTCTTCGGAGAGAGGCATATAATTGTCATCCTCTGAGTCTCCATCTATTGCCTGTTCATCCGGGCTAGCTTGCCCAGCCTCCCACCCGGTTTGCTCCAAGCTTGTCTGGGCGGGATTGTTTTCGTCTTCGGCATCATCCGGAGTGTTATCGTCTCTTGTGCCTGTATCGTTGTTTTTGCTGTGGCGGGGCTTACAGCGGCGCCGCTGACGTCGGCGCTTAGATTGCTTCTCAGGGGAATTATCCTCCGTTGCCTCATCACCATTGCTTTCTTTGGGTGTGTCCACCATATATATATCATATGATGAGGTGTCTGTCCAGCGCCCTGTGGGCGGTGGTTCCTGTTCTTCTCCAGCATCGTCATCCATACCGTCGATGTCTTCGTAGTCGAAATCGAGCATGTCGGTTAAGTCGTCGACAGTGGCTACTAAGTGGGTGGCGGGTGGGTAACAAATTTCTTCGTTGTCCGCTTCCCACTCGAGCCGGACATAGTTTGGCCGGGAGTCTCCTGATAGGGAGAGAGATTTTAACGAGTTTAGTACGTCGCCCAAGGGTGAGTGCTGAAAAATATCCACGGAGGTAAACTCCATGACCGGTGCCCAATCAGGTTCGATAGGCACGGATGCGCATAGTTCGGAGCCTATGGCCGGAGACGAGTCCGAGGGTCCGATGACACATACCTCATTGGAGGTGAAGTCTGTGTTCGACTCTATCGCCAATGAGTGTGCGGCCTCCGTGGCGGGGTCTATCCACCCGTCCTCGGATGGCACGATCTGCCTCGGATTTAGAGCCGGGGCAGTTGTAGGTGTGATTTCCTGGACACAGTCCGGTGGCAGATCTAGGTCATGCTCATCGTGAATGTATGGCGTACCTGTCATGGGCTCGAATCCGTCGAAGATCAAGTCTCCATGGATGTCGGCAGTGTAGTTTAGGCTTCCAAACCTGACCTGATGTCCAGGGGCGTAGCTATCGATCTGCTCCAGATGGCCAAGCGAGTTGGCCCACAGTGCGAAGCCGCCGAATATGAAGATCTGTTCAGGGAGGAAAACCTCACCCTGGATCGCATCATTGTGGATGATTGAAGGAGCCAACAAGCCTTACCGTGACGACACAGTGGAACTCTCAATGAAAGCACCAATGTCGGTGTCAAAACCGGTGGATCTTGGGTAGGGGGTCCCGAACTATGCGTATAAGGCTAATGGTAACAGGAGGCGGGGGACACACTGTTTACCCAGGTTCGGGCCCTCTCTATGGAGGTAATACCCTACTTCCTGCTTGATTGATATTGATGATATGAGTATTACAAGAGTTGATCTACCATGAGATCGTAGAGGCTAAACCCTAAAAGCTAGCCTATGACTATGATTGTTCTTGTCCTACGGACTAAACCCTCCGGTTTATATAGACACCGGAGGGGGTTAGGGTTACACAGAGTCGGTTATAGAGAAGGAAATCTACATATCGGAATTGCGAAGCTTGCCTTCCATGCAAAGGAGAGTCCCACCCGGACACGGGACAAAGTCTTCAATCTTGTATCTTCATAGTCCAACAACCCGGCATAAGCATATAGTCCGGCTGTCCGAGGACCCCCTAATCCAGAACTCCCTCACCTGCCCGTGATGAAAATTGGCTGTTTGGATGCCTGTGTTTACTGTTTAGCCCGCATAGCACGAACCTCAAAGCACCCCTCAGCTAGGCCCACTAGGAATGACCGAATCAGCTGTTTCCAACGAGCCAAGATCGAGCGATGCAGGGGAGGGGAATGCTGCACCGTGCAGTGGAGGGAGATGACAGGAGCGATGGTGCTTCTCCGAAAAAGCGAGGGGACTATATCGAGTCACCGCCCGCTGATTCAGTCACCATGTATATCGAGGGTGACCGCCGCGGCAAAACTCCCGCCACCATTCCCCCCGTCTCGAGCTTTCCCTCTAGCGCAGATCCACTTCGATGATGAGGTAAGCAACGCAACTACTCCGGCGACCGGTGGACTGCGGTGGCGGGTCGACTCTTCCTCCTTTCCGATGTGCCAGGTACCTCCTCCGCAACCGTTTCGATGGCGTCTGTAAGTTCAATTTGTTGGGAATCATTGCATGGAAAACAAGAAAATTCTACGCACACGCAATCATCTATCCATGGAGATGCATAGCAAGGAGTGTGTCTACGTACCCTCGTAGACCGTAAGCGGAAGAGTTTCACAATGCGGTTGATGTAGTCGAACTTGTTCGCGCTTCAACCGATCAAGTACCAAACGCATGGCACCTGCGTGTTCTGCACCCGTTCAGCTCGGTGACGTCCCTCGCCTTCTTGATCCAGCAAGACGTCGAGGTAGTAGATGAGTTCCGTCAACATGATCATGTGGTGTCGGTGATGGTGAAGTGATCTCTGCAGGGCTTCGCCTAAGCACTACGAAAATATGACCGGGGGTGTGAATTGTGGAGGGGGGCGCCGCACACTGCTAGGCAATTGTCTGTTGTGTGCTAGGCGCCCCCTTCCCACATATATATAGGTGGGAGGGAGGGAGGATCAGCCAAGGGAGGCGCCCAAGTAGGAGGAATCCTAGTTGGAGTCCCTCCCAAGCCGCGCGCCCCCCTGCCATATATAGTTGATCGAGGGGGAAGGAAAGAGGGGGGGGGGAGAGAGGGAAGGAAGTGGGAATCCTAATCCACATTTTCCTTTCCTTTCTCCTCTTTCCTTCCCCTCCTTAGGCCGGCCCATATGGGGGGCGCACCAGCCCCTTGTGGCTGGTGTGTTTTCCCTCTTGGCCAATAAGGCCCATATCTTTTGCTGGGGGTGCCCGAAACTCCTTTTCGGTGACCCGATAAGTACCCGGTACCCCTGAAACACTTCCACTGTCCGAATACCATCGTCCTATATATCAATCTTTACCTCTCGACCATTTCGAGACTCCTTGTCATGTCTGTGATCTCATCCGGGACTCCGAACAATATACGGTCACCAAATCACATAACTCATATAATATTATATCGTCATCGAATGTTAAGCGTGTGGACCTTACGGGTTCGAGAACTATGCAGACATGACCGAGACACCTCTACGGTAAATAACCAATAGAGGAACCTGGATGCCCTTGTTGGCTAGCTCCTACATATTCTACGAAGATCTTTATCGATCGAACCGTTATGACAACATACGTAATACCCTTTGTCTATCGGTATGTTACTTGCCCGAGATTCGATCGTCGGTATCTTCATACCTAGTTCAATCTCATTACCGACAAGTCTCTTTACTCGTTTCGTAATACATCACCTCATGACTAACTCCTTAGTCGTTTGCTTGCAAGCTTATGATGTGTATTACTGAGAGGGCCCAGAGATACCTCTCCGATACTCGGAGTGACAAATCCTAATCTCGATCTATGCCAACTCAACAAACACCTTTGGAGATACTTGCAGAGCATCTTCATAATCACCCAGTTATGTTGTGATGTTTGATAGAACACAAGGCATTCCTCTGGTATCCAGGAGTTGCATAATCTCATAGTCGAAGGAATATGTATTTGACATGAAGAAAGCAATAGCAATAAAGGTGAACAATCATTATGCTAAGCTAACGGATGTGTCTTGTCCATCACATCATTCTCCTAATGATGTGATCTCAGTATCAAATGACAACACATGTCTATGGTTAGGAAACCTTAACCATCTTCGATCAACGAGCTAGTCTAGTAGAGGCTTACTAGGGACACGATATTTGTTTATGTATTCACACATGTATTTAGGTTTCCGATCAATACAATTCTAGCATGAATAATAAACCTTTATCATGAATAAGGAAATATAAAATAACAACTTTATTATCGCCTCTAGGGCATATTTCCTTCACAATTACCACCTCCTATCTGCTAGTTCTAGCTAGATTTGTCCATGTGGTAGGGTTAGGTCGTCCGATCTATTTGACTGTGATGTTTGTAGTAGCTAGTTGTGATGGATTTGGAGCATGTTAGGGGTTGTTTTCCATGTGGGCAAGTGTTGGTAGCTAGTGGTCATGGATGGATTGGTGTTATGCTAGTGTGCAAGTGTTGAACAAGATCATCCATGTGTCCATGATTAGTGCTTTGTTACACTGTGTTGAGCTGTGGTATGCTTTGATGGATTCTGTAGTGCTGTCTTCAACTAGATCATCCATGTGTGCATGTGGTACTGCTAGTTTGATCCGCCCATGTTGTACTGCTAGTTCCTACTATCCATGTGTAGTGTCTTGTGGTGTTGATGACGCTTACATATGTAGGACATGACCACACAAACACAAGAGTTTAGTCAGGCCATCGTGTTGTCCAAGAGCCAGTTCCCGCCGTCCTACGTCGAGGACTCCCAGCCTCCTATGGACCAGATGCCTCCTAATTCAGAAGTTTTCGAGGTGCCACCTATGGTTCCTCCATTTGTGCTGGCTCAGCCCAATGTTGTTGCTCATACTGCAGCTCAAAAGGCAGCCACAAAGGAGACGAAGGATGGCAGGGGGACAACATGAAATGGCAGTCGTTCCTCTCCGCTTTCGTGTTTAACAAGATGTGTGGATCATAGCTAGTGGGGTGAGGACTGACAAGGGCTTCAAGGAGGTGCACTTGAACCTTGTTGTAAAGCAGGTGTTCGACTTCCGTGGACAGGAGGTCACCTCGACCCAGGTGTACAACCACCCGCGGAAGTCACTTCTGTGGTAAGCACTACTATTAGTGCTGCTTCTGCTAGTGGCGACGGCGTGTATCATCCTCGGCGGCGATGGCGACAAGGACGACGATGACAATGATGATGTATATCTTCTGTCGTTAGGGCTTGAAAACAATCTTATGGTCTGTATATTTTGGTGAAGTGGTATATACTAACCCCTCACGGTGATCCTCGCGATGATCACGAACTTGCCGTGGTAGGATTACACCCTCTTTTGAATGTGGTGGTAGGATGACACCAAAGTAATGGTAGATTGAACTTGCTATGATCATGCATGCTTACTAATACTCTTCTGCTCCATTGCTTGCTCCTAGAGTTCTTCATTGCTTGTTGTTTGTGTGCTCCAATGCTTGTTGCTTGAGCTTATTGCTCGTTTGCACTGTCAGGGCAATTGGTATGTGGTGTTCAAAGGTAGGGTTCCAGGGATTTACAGTTCATGGGAAGCTTGCAACAAACAAGTTTCAAGGTACGGCGACAGCAACCACATATGAGGGTTTAATACTAGGCAGGCGGTAGAATATGCTTACTCCAAGTATGTGCGAGAGCATTCATGTAGTAAGGTTGAGGTTGGCAAGGTGGATCGTCTGTTAAGGCTGAAGAACTTCATCATCTTCATCCAATTCATCGTCATAGCAGTGTTGTGGCGTTGGTGTGCTCGTTGTGAACGTGTGTAAGGTGTAGTAGTATTGGTAAGCTCACCAAGTAGGGTACATGGTGAGCACAACTCTATGCTCGTATGTAACCAAACAACGTGCACTCATGTGAGCACATATAATGCGAGCAACCAAACACGGTGCGTAGAAGCGTCGCTACGATGCAAAGATAGGACATGCAAGCAACCAAACAATATGCAGATGTTGGTTTGTGCCTTATAAGTTCAACCAGTCTTAACTGAAACAAGTATGCAAATAGGCAAGAAACGATACAAGCAACCAAACACGCCTAGAGTGCTTTTAACCGAAAATTTACCTGACGCCGCGAGGTGCCACGACACTTGATCCTCCCTGCCTAGGTGAGAGGCTGAAAGCACCAACGATACCATTGTCCTTCTAACTTGGAGGGTGTTTGTTTCCAGAGACTTATTGGTTTAGGGACTTAAAAAAAGTCCCTATAAGTCCCATCTAAACCAAACAGGAGGGACTTATAGGGACTTAAAGTGATCGTTTGGGACTTATGAAATAAGACTCTCAAGGAGGGACTTATAGGAACTTATAGTTGTAATATGGTCTTATAGGGACTTATAAGTCCCAGGAACCAAACAGGTAGGGACTTTTTAGAGACTTTGGACTTATAAGTTGGGACTAAAAAAAGTCTTAGGACTTATAAATCAAACAGGGCCTTGATTCGTAAGCAGGGCGAAAGCTGAAGCTGATGAATCACCACACGGATCGATATTCGATAGGTATTTAAGAACTCACGCTGCCAAAATGCTGGTTCGGGAGCAAACTTGATCGCTCGCAGCTCATGACTTCCATCAATGCGAGACTTACGCAAATGTCTGGTGGATCTCGCACGCAATTCCATGCATCATG